CAAAATTTGTTTTCGAGCAAATATCTGCCTGGCTAACATTGAACATCAGTAGCGCTTAAAACTTAAACAGAATTTCCACCAAAATGAATATCCCTCGACCGATGTGAATCTGAAACCTCCCGAGCGCCCGAGCGCCTCGATATCTTTCGTCAAAGCGTCGTTAGCGTTGAGGTGACAGCAGCGGGGGCTCTGAGCCTTCGTGCGGATGCCCCGAAGTGGACTCTTGGCCTCGTCGTGGCAGAGGCCCGCCACTCGCCGGCCATTGAGTAGGGACGCGTTCTGAGTGGCTCTGAATTCAGATCCGGTGCTACCTTGGATAGCTGTAGCTCGGAGCTCACGACGTGGCTTTACCCTCGCTCATGTGCGTCGATGTCGAGTGAAGAGAATGACTGATCTGATCCCGACAGCCCTGATCGGTAGTTTTCCGTGGTTTATCCGTTCAACACCAATCGAATGCCGGGGCAGAACCCTAACAAACGGGCCATGGACCGCGCGCGAATTTCCCGTACTCTTCCTTGTCCTATCCTCACCCCTTATAAACCCTTACACTATGCACTACTCTACCTCACATGCCGGGAGACCAGTCGAGAGCTTCGAGCGGTGTCTCGCTGATGGGAGGAACGTGGTTGAGGGTACATCCCGCTCGGCGACGGTAAGTCGGCGTCGGATCGCACCTCGCGAGAGAGAAAACTTGCACTACACTAACGGGGCTAATGACCGTAGCAGTTGTCGCGCCCGCAATGACCAAACAAAATCGACCTGATGGAGCCGACAAGAGGCCTAAAGGTAGGAGTCTGCTTTGGGACGAGTTAAAAATCCCTCGAATGAAACTACGAGTACAGTATTATCGGAAGACTTGCCGTTTGTGGTCACGTATCACACAATTCAATCAATACTTTTCTCCTAATTTTCCAAATTGTGCCTTTTACAGCCTTTCAGAATTTTCATTAATAAAATGCATAAATTGATCATTTATCAAAGTACAGAATGTTGGAACACCAAATGAATACTTGAAAAAGTAAGTGCTTTTTGAAAGTTGTACGGGTTGCATAATAAGTAACTCACAACAAGACACACGATAGTCGAGAATTTCTTTGGTTAACCAGTTTACTAAATAATGAATGTATTGCGATACGTAATAATCGAACTATGAACTTGTGTAATATCCTGAAGTTTTAAAACAATATAAATGTACTAACAAAATAATATAAATGAATCAAGAGTGAGTTTTAGAGAAGAGTTTAAAAGTTCAAAGTTCTCCAGGAACTCAAAGCTATTCAAGATAACGCAAAGAGACAGGAAAATAGCAAGGAAGTAAATGGGAAGTTCAACTTTGTTACATCGTGAAGAAGAATCTCTTCGTGTGGAAAAACTTGTAAGAGTAACCACAGTCAACTACCAAAAGAAAAAAAAACACTTCACGGAAAATTACCGTTACCTCACAAGCATAACTGCCTAACAAGATAGTTCAGTTGCGTAAAGAAGTCAGCAACAGAGTTGAGAAATCAGTGACGGTTTCAGGTAGTGTACCGGAATTGATAGATGTTTAGCATTTGTTGTACGTACATTTTTTGTTCTGTTACTGCTCCTTGTGATTGCTAATATCTAGCAATTCATGCCACCTTTAAATAATTTTTTGAAAATGTCTGCTTTCATTTTATCTAAAATAAAATTAGTTTTGTTAAATTTCTTACTAGTATACTCACCAAATATAGAAGTTTTCTTATTAATATTTTTAAAAAAGTGGCTGGAAGATTAACGCCCGTTCAATCACGGGGACATTTGACTTCACTGTATAAGATATTATAGTTTATCACTTAAAATCATTTACAAAAATGTTTAATAATAATATTAACAATAATAATAATAATAATAATAAATATATACCTCCCTTCATTCTCTTGTCAGAATATCTGAAGCAACTGAAACTGAACACGTGTGTGATTTCTAATAATTTAATGTAAATGTATTACAAACCTACTAGATCAGGGGTGTCCAACAGGTGGCTGGCGGGCCGCATGCGCCCCACGGTCCCATTGCCCATGTTCTCAGCCGAGGTCAACAACTCTTTGATGTAAAAAAGGTTAAGTTTAGATTCAAGGATGCTTCTACAAAATTTAAAAATTCAAAATCCTCCCGATGCGTTTCACTGCGTTATGCATGGTACGGCCTGATATCACGCATGGTCCTATTCCCACCCCCACGCCTCACACACACACACAGTTTCGGAGCAACCAGACAAACTTCCGAGATCAACATTGAGAGGAAGTCAGGTGTCGGGCGTTCGAGTAATGAAAATATGGCCTATGGATTTTAGTTGTGGCCCTTGGGGCCTTGCAAGTTGGACACCCCTGTACTATATTATTTTATTTCACAAAGAGGAACAGGGATTTATTTATTTATTTGCGTCAAAAATAGTTAAAACTGCGTGTGTTGTGCTATAAGAAGAAATTAAATAGAAGTTTCATTTATGTCCAGAAGCAAAACAAGGGGCCATCTCAGCATTTGCTCGAAGATCAGGAAAACTGGACGAAAACCAGATCGAGATGGGGTTTATTGACTCAGAAGCTGAAGTACAATACTTGTTACAGATTCTTTACAATTATACAATCCAAATGGTATAAAATACATTAAATTTCATTGTTAAAATTAATATTACTTTCCTTTTGAATGCTCGGTATAGTGTCTAAGTGTTTGGAAACAGTTGTGCAGCAGAAAAAGATTGTACGTGGGACTTAAACTTTTATAGAATTTAATCGTCGTTTAGAATAAATTAATGTATATTATTGTGTTTCTACAGATTCGCATTATCTAATACCTTTTTTAAAATATCCAGGTTCTCTTCCATTGATTTGTCCGAATCAATGGCTTCATCTTGTTTGTTCCAGCTTGTAACTCGCTCAGGTAATTTTTTTAGAAACGATAGTCATATTGTTGTAACTCTCTTCGCAGTTGAAACTTTTTTATTGTTTCGGGAACATTTTCAGGAAATAAACTTCAATGACCCTGGGGAGCTGGTGAAAACAATTTGGTGTCTTAGGAGCAAGGCCATTTCTTGTCCATGTTCCCCTCTTGTGAATATTTTTCGATGGTGAGCCAATGATAAATTGATGATAAACTCTTAAAACTGTAGCTGGGATGCTGATGGTCATAGTAAAGCAATGTTTGCCTTGTAACTGAAGGCCAATTTAGCAGAGTTCACTCAGCTGGTTAAGTAAGCGCAAGGTTTCTTCCCACTGTAGCCGAACTACTCTAGCGAAACCAGAAATGTTTGCTAATATCAGCAACCATGTTTGGAGATTTATGGGTTATCTCCCTCTCTCACTGGATGCCCCAATTTTACATTCAGATAAATTAGGATTCTTGAGAAGTCGAAAATAATTTCATTTCCCCGTTCTTGACCATTGCTGAGGTGCTTTCGCTACCACTCATGGCATGTAAGAAAATAAAGTTGTCGGCATTCGTTTTACGTCTAGCAGCAAACGGGGAAATGCAGGTAAAGAAACTTTATCTTTCTCGGTTTCAAAAAGGGGACATTTGCATACTTGCAGAGAGCTCTCAACATTACCACCAAATCTATTATATCCCTACAAACTACAATCAAGTCTTCGTGTTCGTTATCGGAGTGTCTGCGTCTTTCATCGCTTATTTGCATGTCCTTTCTTCCGTCAAAAACGTAATGATATTTGCTATTTTGTTTTGTTATTTGTGTTAGCAAGAACATTTTCTTTGCATATCGTTTGCGTCATCGTGAGATGAGAAGGTACTGTAATCGTGTAAAGGAAAACGGCGAGATAAACTTGTTTGATAAACTTAAACGAATATTATTATATGGAATCGGTATTAACGAATTACAAATCGTGGTTTCTGACCTAACGTATCAGAGAAAGAGATTTACTACATTTAGAAACAACAAATATCCTCTTTTCGGGTATTAGAGAAACACAAAACTAAATTGTGTTGGAAAGCGTAACTTTTCTCCGCAGCTTTACATAACTTTGTCTACATCAGGTAAATTACTGCATATATTCGTCCGAATACGAGAAAGTTAAACATTGTGAGAGACTGGTGCTGTTGAAGTGTAACTTCACAATGGCTACGGAAAAGTTTATTTTATTAATTGCTCATTTCTATTAGTTAACAATTTGTATTAATATATTTTATATTAATATCCAAAACTGTTTTTAATTGAAATAAAAAAAATATTTTTCTTTATTCATCCATTTCCACAAATTAACTCTGAGAGAAAGAAATTATTGGTTTATGTTAGCTGAAGCATGTACAAATAATTTAAGGTTTAAATATTCTAAATGACTGTAATTTCTGTGTCGATAGCCAAGAACGATATAGTTGACCTTTATAAGTGTTCAATTTTCAATTCAATTTTTCATCCCAAAATCTTATAGACGATTCACCTTCGTCTAAGTTGAAACTGATGATGAAATCATCATTAATAATCATAGAAATTTTATTCAAATATTTTTTCACAAATGCAGCACCTTTAAAACACAAAATTTCATGAATCAGTACAATGATATATTTAACGTATGTATTTATTAATTCGTATATTGTCACCAACATAATTGTTTGCTCATTTTTCAGTTGGCATCAAGCTGCAAAAATAGCAACTATTTCTGTACTCTGTAACCCCAGTGTAGGTTGTCCTACATGTTTCCTCAAATGTTCACCAAGGGTTCCCACATGTTTCGTCAAAAATGTTGTCTCAAAATGTTCCCCCAAAAACGTCCCCCCAATGTCTCTTAAATGTCCTCAGAGAGCATTGCTCTACGCAGGAGAGCAGCCATCATCGCATGTGATCACATGTGGATCACGGAGCTATTTGTTTTCTTCTCGCCCGATTCAATCCGATTTGCCGTACTCGCAGTTGAAGTTTCGCTTCGGAAAACTCCATGGAAAAGGGGGGCGCTCGCCGGCGCCCGGGTTTGAGGCGGAGGCCTTCGGAGCGAGCGGTGCCGGGAGCGCGGGGGAGGGGAAGGGGGAGGGGGAGGAGGTCGCGCGTAAAAGCGCAGGTCGCCGGCGCCGGGGGCCAGTCGCTGCCTCCGCCATGGCGTCACTCGGAGCGTGCCCGGCGCCGCTCGCGCTGTCGCTGCTGCTGCTGCTGTGGCCGGGGCTGCTGTCGCCGCCGCCGCTCGCCAGCGCCAAACTGCCGCTGCGTGAGTTGCTTCGCGATGCTCGGCTGGCGCAGCCGCGCGCGGGTGGTGTAACGCAGGGATGGATTTAATGGCGATGAAGACGACAGAGCACGTGCTTTGGGCACCGTGAACGATTTGTAAACGAAATTGTGTGCCAGTTCAAGTGCGAAATTATTTTGAAATAAAATTTTGATGATAATAATAATAACAATAAGTTCGAAAATGTAAAATTCCTGTAAAATTATTCGCCGCTGGTGTCGAAACGATACCTATCCCGAAGGTTGACGTCAAGTTAAGTGAGAGTTACAATAAATGTGCCCGAATTATGAATAAACTTTCGAATATTGTTAGTCGTTTAATAACAAACAAAATATTTAGGTGTGTGCAATTAAATTTAACAGGGTACAGAGTGATATATTTAATTGTATGCAGAATTAGAGGTTCTACATTTCAGATCACCCTTGCCACGGGGTTGGAGTAGCCGGAGAAGTTTAACTCCCAAAATCAAACAAAACTTTCAAGTAGTGCTAATTTTGCGTTTTACACTGTAAATAATATTAAAGGACGTGAGGTGGGCCTCCAAAACCGGGTTTTTAAAGAGGGGTGCACCGTTTTAGTGTTACGCACGACAGAACGCGCGTGAAAACTTTCTACACCTCTTTATATAAACACGAAAGTCTTTGATGTAATATACTCCAACACCGGCAGTGGCGAGCGTAAAGAAAACGTATTGCGGTCGAGCGTGCTGCCTGGGAGATAGCGGCTTCGATTCCGGCAAGCTCACAGATAATTTATTTATTTGTTTAGTTTCCATGAGTTTTTGACATCCATCCGAATTGAATTCGTTGAGCTTAATTTTCAGAAATTATTATGTATATTGTTTTAAAAGCAGTTTGCAAGTCAAGGTGGTATGACTTCCGACACTACCAAGTGAGCTAGGTCGAATTCAGTCGCTGTCTGGAGAAGGACTTTAGCGGCAGGCTGCTCGGATCGGTAGTTTTCCGTGGTTTCTCCGAACAATACCAGGCGAATGCTGGAGCAGTACACTAACAAACGGACCACGGATCGCACACAAGCTTCCCTTCCTCCTCCTTGCCCTATCATCTCCCCTTACGCGTGCACACTTGCACTTTCATGCACTACACTTCCACACATGTCAGGAGACCAGTCGGGAGCTTAGAGCTTGTCCAGGTTCGGGGGGGGGGGGCTCACTGGTAAGAGATACTAGTTGGAAGAACTCTGCAAGTAGACGTGTTGGTCGCACTGAATCTAACTATACAGCAGGTAATGGTCACTGCCCCTTCCCGGGGGAAAATGTTCACTGTATATACGGGACTAGTAGCATTAGCAGTTCACGTGTCCGGAAACACGAAATCAATCATGTATAATCCATGTTGTTGAAAAAATTATCATAAGTAGAAAATTATGTTTTGAATGTTGGTATTACAAAGATTGAATTAGAGTTGCTGGTAAATTGATAGATATTGATATATGGTTTGTTGCGATAATATTGTTATTAACTGTATGTCTGCTTAGAGTTAACCTACATGTAGTAATCGTGTAGCTTGTGTGTGTCTGTCCATGTATTCTTCCCTCTCTCCGTTCGTTCGTTGGTTAGACGCTAACGTAAAGTTCCGGTGGAGAATTGAAGTCTCCCGCCCGAGAGGGCGATAAAGTGTTCCCCCAATTTCCGACGAAATTGCATCGTCGGCTTGCGAGGTATTCCCCTAGCAGGTATCTCCCATTAGCGGGGCACCGCCCCAGTCGAGACAAGCTCTAAGCTCCCGTCTGGACTCCTGACATGTGTGGCAGGGTAGCGCATGTAATTGTGTTTGTAAGTAAGAGATGAGGGTAGGTCACGGAATGGGAAGGACAGATCACGCAGTCCGTAGCCCTTTTGTTAGGGTACTGCTCCGGCATTTACCTGGTGATGATAAAAAAAACACGTATTATCAGTCAGAGCAGTCGGCCTTCAGATTCTTCTCCTGAACTCGCCCTCGCTAGCTATTCGAAATTCTACCACATTCGAGAGTGGAACGCTAAGACCTTTAAGTCAGGGGCACTGCAGTGACATCGGTTGACGCTCTGAACCGGTAGGTGGAGCTCCGAGCCGCCCGGGCCTTAGACCTTAGCTCTGAGCTGGCAAGGCGTCCGTATCGAGGCTTATGATAGTATATTCGAACATTGTCACTTTAACCCCGACTAATCTTTAAATGAAAGTAAAATATCTGTGCTTTAACATGGTAAGTAAAAGTCTGCTCTTACTGGCTGGATTTTTATAATAAAATACGTTTAAGTTAGTATAAGCTCTTACAGAAAATATTTCGTGGGTATACGTTTTTTTTAAGATATTGAAACAATTATGCCGGCCAAGTAGTTGTTTTTCTTATTCGCAGTTAATCGTAAAAATGTTGACGAATCAGATTATATTAAATGTAATATACCTCACCAGGCAGTCTGAGAAGTAAATGCTATGAAAACTGATACGAAATTCGTTGCTATCAGAAGTACCAATTCTCGGCAAAGGTACAAATCATGCTATTGTCAGCACTGGTTTTATTCGCGTTCTATAAAAAATCACCCGAAATTAAAATTTTGTACCACAATCACTGCAAACTCAATGACGATATTTACTTATCGATGCAAGTGATATTTATTTTCAATTGCGGGATCCAAAGTCAGCATAACCAATTAGTATTGTCAACTTAAGAAAATGATATTTTTTAGAGATATTAAATTTAAAATCGTTTTTCTAGAGCTTGAAGTCAATTTTTCTCTTTGAAGAACTTAAAAATAATTGTTAACTGGATGTGACATACTATGGAAAGAATAGTATTCTGTGCACGTTTTCTAAGATGTTGATATCCATTCCCTCACCCATATACAAGTTGAATTATGATTCAAAATGAAAACGATCGTTTCTGGTAAGAATTGATATACTATTTGCTCCTGGGAAATCAACTACATGTTTTGGATATTATACTTCACCGTACAACAACAATACTTATTCCAGCCCTTTTAGAATTACATGGTTTACAAGTTTTTACATGGCACTTAAACTTGGGTACCGGTTTTAATCGTTTAATAGCATCTGGCAATGTGTTGTAAAATAATGTTCATGTACGTTTTTGTAGTGAGTTGTTGACACTGACCCCTTAACACGAGCGTTGCGAGCATACAGCCTTACAGACACGCGGTGACGAATTACCACTTACACTATTAATGTCTCATACTTTAGGTACTTGAGGTCAAAACAAATAGCGATGGCGACAAAGGGAGATTGAAAACATAACAAAGAAGAAACAAATGCCAAATATGATTATATACATTCGAGACATCGCCGCGCCTTGAGAAAGTCGTTAAAGATGTCCTCGAGACCATCAAGGTTGAATATCCCATTGAAGTCGATTCTCTCTCAGAAAATTCAGATAAAAATATTTCACGAAAATAGATACCTCCACCCGGATTAATATACAGTAGAACCCCGGTAATGCGAACTAATTGGGCGTGTGAACTGTTCGGATTAGGAAATGTTCGGATTATCGGAAAAATGTACTTAATGTTTACAAATGCATCTATAGGATTACCAGACAATGCACTGTAGCGTGTGATATGAGAAAATGGCATTGTAGCGCAGCGATCACATCATCACATTCCATCACTATGCAGGTTCAGCTCCTTATGACAAAGGAAGTTAACCGATTTTGCAAGTTTATGTAAGTGAGAATTACTGCTGCATAAATATCTAATATATACCGTATTCATCAGAGCAATGAATGTTTCATTTCGACAACTTATATTTCAATAATTACTTGTTGAGTTCTACAGAAACTATAAAAACCTTTTTTTACACTACAAATAAGCATTTTATTTATTTTGTTTATTTTTCCTTTATCCCGAATTTTGTTTGGATTATCTGAAATTTCGTATTTGAGGGTTTCGGATTAGCGAGGTTCTACTTCCAATTAGCCTTAAATTGGTTTTGACTTTGACATGATTTGGTTTGTGGTTGGTTTGTGCAGCTGACTTCAGATGGCTAATAGCATCGGCATTCTGAATTTTGTATTATGTTTATTAATAAGAGATGTTCTTGAGAGAGTACGAATTTGTTGTGGTTGATATCAATTCTCGGATAGTTGTCTCGAAACTGTCATTGTTGAGCAACACGTAAAGTAGATTAAGTTAAAGAACGAGAATAAGTCCGGAAAATAATTTTCCAAGGATATTTTAATATCCTTGTCTTAACAAAACAAATTAGATAATCTGCCTATCTTACTTGTCATCTACCATAGATCAGGGCCATGACCTTAATTTATTTTACAGGTACAACTCTTTGAAGAACCACAGATCGGCTATCTTGATAGATATGTGAGCAATAAAATTCACGAAGAGGAAGTAGAAAAATTACCGATAATTTTTAAATCAAGGATAGTTTTGTTAATACACACAAGTATAATTGTCAATAGGTTTTGTTTCTATTAAATAATAAATAAATAAATAAATAAATAAATAAATAAATAAATAAATAAATAAATAAATAAATAAAGTAATTCATTCAATTTTTTAAAATTTAATCAATCATTTTATTAAATAAAAATTTAAATCGTTCATAATTTCACGTTCTCGGTAGCAAGAGTTTAGTAAGTTTAATGGTTCTCAAAATGTGCCTGCCATCATTATTTTATATTTAAAGCATTGTGAGTAGGTGGTGTTGGTCAACGTGCTGGACTTCCACTACGCGACCCAGGGTTTGGTTCCCCCGATGAGGCAAGATTGTAGTGGGCGTTTCCCTTTCAATGTCTCAGTGTATTTTGCTGTGTGATGATTGGAAAACTCGCTTATCACGTTGAGAAGACCGGAATAGGGCGTGGGGATGTCTACGTGCTAACCACACATACGCCCTTAATCCTTGGCCGCGAGGCATGGACGTCGCCTGAGTAGGCCTGAGCCCGTTCACGGGCTGTCGCGCCGAGAACATACATAGAAAATAATGACCATACCAATACATTTGTTGTAAGAAA